AGGCGTCCTTAACATGTGGGCAAGTGGGACAGTCACTGCGGAGAGAAAGGACTGTGGAAGGGGAAAGGACAAAGATGGAGGAGAAAAATGATCGTGCACCATGCCAGCTTTCTGAAGAGGTGGAGGCAGATGGACTTCACCCACGTGTGGGTGGATGGGCTTTGGGTAGGATGGCTCTCTCACAAGAGAAAGGAGGGAAGAGGGGTTGTCGGTATTGTCAGGCTCTTCCCAGGAGAAGGGAGATGGGAAATACTGCTTCAGTGTGTGGGTGAGAGCCAATAGAGATGAATGATTATATATTTACAGAGGCAGGAGTCCAATCGCTGTCTCTTTTCCTGCAGCACTGCTCAACAACCTAGGGACTTAGGGGCGGCCAGAGAGAGCTGGGCATGGATGGGATCCTCACAGATTGGAGGAGAAGGGCGAGTTGTGGATAGATGGGTGTGAACAAAGCAGACAATCAAGGGATTTTAGGGGAATACTTAAGCTGATTATTCTGTTATCTATCAGATGTGGGTCCCACTGGCAGTGAGCAGACGGTGCTGATCACTTTGAAAGTTCAGTCATGAGAACCAGCCTGCCTGCATTTAAATTCTGGCTTCTCCACGTAGGAATTGTGGAACTGTGAGCTGATTAATCTTTCTTTGTCCTCAGTTTTCCTCTCTGTAAATGGGACCAATGGCAACACCACCATCATACGGTTGTTGTGAGGATTAAATACATGTGTGCATTCAAAGCCCTAGAATAGTACCTGGCATAAGTCAACCTCAGTCCATTTCTAGTTCTTGTCATACCATTATTATTGTTATAAAGAAACACTCCAAATGATAAGTTTTATGTAATAAAAATTTGTGACCCCTGTATGATCTTTACACTTATCATAGTAGATGTTCAGATGCTTTTAAATACTGTAAGCAATTTAATCATTATTCAGGATGCCCTATATGCTATAGGGCGTGTGTCAGTGTATGATTATTTTATAGGCGGGGAAATGGAGATCTAGAGGGCTCGTGGCTCATTAGTGGCCTCAGTAGAATCCTGGGTCTCCAGTGTGTTTCCCACCTCGTGACTCTGACTTGTAAGAAGCCCTTTGATCTCTATTAATTTTCATTTTCTGCTCATTTTCTTTTGCTTGATGTGCTGCCTTTGCTGTCTGACCTACCTAATATGTTCCAGGACTAAAAGCAAACAAGTGTTCTTTGTAACAACTGTGGTCATTTTGAAGCTCCCATTTCCCCAAACCCTCTTGAACGCAGGCCTTGTGTTTCTGTGTGCTTTCCATTGGAACACATTGGCAAGTCAGCTGCGGATAGTGGTAAACTAGCTTCAGAAGCAGAACCTCTTAGTAGAAAGTCAGGTGGGGCCTCATCAATCCAAATAAAAGCCAACGCTTCATAGGAACTGTTGCATTAATGATGTCTCCATTATTTGGTCTCCAAGTCAGTCTTCTACATGTGATTGTACCTGATGGGTAATTTTCATTAAATTGTTCAGCCTGGCATTAATGGATTTCCACTTCTGTGTCAGCTGTCACTGAGCCTCTGATCCATGCCAGGGTTACACCGTGCCCCGTGTCTTTGGGTGATCTCCAACTGACACCTCGCTGTGGCTTAAGTGACTCAATAAATGTATGGGTTGAGGGTTTAAACAAGTGGATGAGAGAAAATATGTGCAATAAATTTAAAAATGGAACAGGTTTTAAAAAATAGAAAATCTTACAATGTGAGAAGACAAGACTGTCTATAACAGTGTACTAACTTTGTGTTCAAGTGTAGCTAATTAACTCCTAGTTACCATGGCGTGTTATTAATTCAGTGCACTGAAAGTTAACATGAAGTTTTTGATATACCAAGCTGATGTTTTGCAGAAACATCAAGACCACTTTTACAAAAATGCCAAGATCAAATTCTTATGCTATGGTTTTCCTAGAAAAGATAGTTTCAAAGGTATTCATTTTATAAAATTCATGTATATTAACAAGTAGGCAACTAATAGCAGTACAAAGCTATGTTAAGTACAGAATGCTTGTATTTGTAACCTCTATACATATAATTAAAATACAGTCAAGGGGCCACTCTATAACATTTTTATTATTGACACAGATACTAAATAGATATAGTACTTGGAAATGTGTTTTTATAAGTGCCCAATGTATGAAAATATACAATTCTTGTATTATTTTGCTCCTGTATATTTTGCGTCCTAAAATTCATGGATTCACTTTTCATGCTTCAGGCTTGAATGTCATATACAGGAGTCCGCTGGGCAAATTCTTATAATGTGAGACCAGTAAATCTCAAGGCTGGGTACCCAACTGCTATTCCTTCCTTCTCAAAGGAAATTGGACTGCAAAAACTCCCCCAGAAACCTCTGGTCATAAATCTGGTTGTTTTCTGAGATTATTTTAATCTACTCATGCATAAAATCTTCTCAAGTTTTACAGTTTTTCTTTCACTGGCAATATTTCCAGAAAATAATCTGTTCGGGTTATTTGGGGTATATTTTTAAGAGCTATAAAAAAATGTTCAGACCTAAATTCAGTTTATATTCCCACTCATGCTAATTTTTCTAAGAACAAGAAAATAAATGCTGTATTGTAAAATATCATTGCCTTGTGCTTTGTAAAAGTGAACAGTCAGGACCAATCATAAGCTAACCAAAGGGAAATGGCTGAGTACAGACTACCTAAGATGATGGTAAGGAGCTACGCAGTAGCACGTTGATGTTCAGTGAAAGGAACAGTTCAAAACTGAATCTCCCTCCTTATGGCAACTGTGCACAAACGACATAAAGTTAGGACCAGAGTCCAGAAAGTGACGCAGGTTTTCAGGTGGCTTATTTCTGTTTGACTTCTCTTTCCACAGTGGACTGGGAGGGAAATTGAGCTGCAGAGTGGGGCAGAGACTATCCTTTGTGTAGAGAGGGGTTTGTGTTTCAAGTAGCAAGCTTGAATCTTGTTCAGAGAGAGACATGATCAGATTTGTGCTACTGTCTGGAGGAGGAATTGGAGCAGAGGCAAGGGCTCCTGAAGGCTGACCAGTTAACAGGCCTAAGGCAGGCAGTGCCTTTTGTTTCAAAAGATTTGGGGGAATTCATGGAGAGCCATTGTTATGCTAGCACCTGTCCCAAAATACTACCACTGTACTTTAAGATTCCTGAACTGTGTTCCCAGTGTAAATTTAATTCTACATACATATCCATCTGTATGCAGATCTTTAAAATGCCTGCATATGTGAATCCCATCTGCTTCAGTAGTTGGAAAAATCTAGCTGAAAAGGCTGACACATTTTTTAATATAAGGGAAATAGTAATATTACATATTATTATAAGTTGCATTTAGATAGTCATGCAATCTTTTAAAAGTCTGGGCATTTTAAGATGATCATTTTGTAACGGGATTATTTTACTGTTGCATCTACCACTTGCATCTTCCAGCAATGCTTACTGAGCATACACTGCATTTTTATATAGGTACATTTCTAAGTATTATCCTAAAGTCTATTTATGGCCTGCTTGGTTCCAGAAAAAATTTAATGTGTCAGTACTGGGGCTACAAATCCTGAGTTTTAAAATGGTGCTAATCCTTGATTCCACTTCCCTTAGGTAAATGTCTCCAGGCCCTGACCCAGGCATCCTGCTTTCTTACCCTTTCCTTGCTACCTACCCTGCAGAATCCAAGCCCTTGCCATTGCTCGCCTCCTGGACTCCTTATAAATAGTATCACTTTAATTTTCCCAATTAGTAAAATAAAAAATGATTTAGATATATGTAGATGAAGTTTTTAAAGTATAAAGAGATATGCAAATGTTAGTTGTTGTTATTTTTTCCAGTTTTAAAATTCAATGATTCTTTGGCTACTAAAATACTTCATTTGAAAAAGAGAAAACCACATGTTGTTTTTCTTGCATTTGGTTCCTCTACCAATAAATCATTTGGTCTGAGCCATGTACATTATTTTAACAAGTGAGCTATGCTTCTTATGATTTTTTAAAAAGTTTTATAAATTTTTTTTAGTGTGGTAAGAAGCTCAATGGAGTGATAATTGGATGAATCAAGGAAGGCAACATGTGACTAAGAAAATAAAAGTAGTATATATCTATAAAATTAAATATAATTAAGCAGTTTATTTGCATAACTACATCCCTTCACCAGCAGGCAGAATAAATCTTTACATGCCCAAGTGATTAATTTCCTACTGAGAATTACTTTGAGACACTGGTAGGGAAGAAAATAAATAGCTTTTACACTGAATTTGTTGCCAGAGAAAGAAATCTTAGCAGCCCTGCAAATAGGGCAGAAACTCATCAGAGATTAGCGAGGCAGGTCTTTGGCCAGAGGCCCATTCTTGTAACTCAGTGCCTGCACTGGTGTTTCAGCCGAAAATCCAAATGGGCTCTTTCACTGGCGACCTAACCCTGTCTTTCCCCTCCAGTATCACAGCCCACATCCTGTGCTCTGATATTCAGCCGGTTTCTTCTCAATGGAACTGAGATCTGCTAAAATCGTACTATGCTTTGGGCAACCTGCTGGCCACCTATACCTAAAATGCACATGCCCTGGTGGCCCCGGTTCTCTCTGTCTCCTCTGACAATGTTGTGCTAACTCAACAAAGAGACATTCATTCATGCGTTGTGCGAGCATTTGAAGGGTGCTCCTTTGTGGTGGTTTTACCTTTCGGGACTCATGGATCTGTTAAAAACTTTGCACCTTTCTTCCAGAAAAATAAACAAGCACTTGAAAATTTGCCAGCAGACTTAGAAGTCACGTGAATTCCACCAAGAAGACTCACAGAGGCCATGTGAAAGACCCTAAATTCTAAAATGCCTTTAAAAGTTTTGCTTTCAAAGTCAGGAATAACTTCTGTTTGCACTGTGGTTTTTAATTGGTGACATTAGTGAAACGCTACTCACCAGTGACTTTTCAACTTCTAGCTTGAATAAATTATTTGAATAAAGAAAAATGATATACATTCTTGCTAATACTGAGGTCTTGTGTTTCAGGTCCGACTACAGCCACCTGTCATCTACCAGTAGTAAGTATCTCTTAAATGTCCTTCAACTTTGCTGTAATAGTCTCACTATGGGGCCAGTACACGGAGGCCATCTATGTGCACACATAGATGCACACATGTGTGCACACTTCAGTAGTATGCACACAGGAATCACCAGAGGAATCCTCGCAAGGAAGACAACCTAGGAACCTCTAACTCTGAACCTGTTTTCCTGCAAAGTTTGATTGGACCTGGATTTCAGTACATTATATACCACTCCTTTCCTGCAGAAATTTAACCTGAGGGATGTACCCCAGGCTTTACCAGCTGCTTATAGAAACTTTTAGGAATATATTCTCCATGGAATTTAATTAACATGTTCTTTGAGTATCTCTCTAATTATTGCTAGTAGAAAACTCAAAGCACAGCCGCTTTTTTTGTGATACAGCTCCAACAGATCTTGGGGGGAAAAAGTTCTTCCCTTGTATTTCTACCTCTGCAGGCAAATGTCACCCCCTCGCATTATAGAGGAACACCCATCTCTGACAAAAGTCCTGCTAAATGTGCTAACAACACCCCAACGTAGACTATAGAGGCAATTTAGCTATCATTTCTGCACTTGCATGTAGCTAGAAGGAATGTAGACATTTTCATCAGTCCATTTTTCTGTATTTGTAATTCCTGGCTTATAGGTGATCATTATATGTGGTAAACAGTGATTGGGAATGTGTTTATAAAGACACTTTGAACATAAAAAGGTACTTACATTTAATATTAGAATACAAGTAAGTATATTCATGAGAAATGATGCCTTTTGACTAGAAAGAATTTATCATGATTAAATCAGTACCTCAAAGTCATTCCGACTGATTGACACTTTTTTTCAAATAACCAAAAATAATCATCTAAAATAAGAGACCTGATTTTTTTTAATCCGTAAATACAGAATTATTCTGTTTTATCTCATCATCCTGTTAAACTCTCAATTCTAAATGGTTCCCAAATGGAGAGACACTTAATTGGATTATTCTATTTATTGGTGTACTGGTTTGTTTTCCCTTTGCAATAAAGGGCTGTGGGGAAATATCTGGAATTGTAATTTAGTGTCAAATTATATTTAGTTATTACTATAACTGCAGTGAGCAATTTCTGATCATTTCAGCCAACAGAGACCCAACATTGCCCCTTAGTTATTAAGATCCATTAGTAATCATGAGAATAATGCTCCAGTGACTTGCGCTTATTCCCTGAAGCTCTTGCATTCCTCAAACCAGAGACAGCCTCCTGAACTCTGGGTCTCTCTGTGCCTCCATTTTCATGCTGCTGTTTGGCCCAGAGGCTACATTTCTTTAAGAATGATTTTTCTAAAAGACTCGCCTGAAGCTTTGCTTAATTTGTAGCTCTCAAATCAGTCCTCTGGGTCACAACAAAACACCTCTCTAGAAAGCAAAACTGGTCATTTAGTTTGGGATGTTTTCCTCTCTGTTATTTTAATTGCAGTCTCTGAGTTGGAATTTCTCTTAGTGCAGTTGGGATCAATGCCCTGCTGTTGCTCTTTCTTTTCACTTTAAATATTTGGTAGTTGTGTTCCTGCCTCATGCTTCAGTGATGCCTCTTGGAGAGAGGAGAGAGAGAGAGAGAGAGAGAGAGGAGAGAGAGAGAGAGAGAGAGAGAGAGAGAGAGAGAGAGAGAGAATGAGAATATTTCAGTTAGGAAACGTGTTTGGCTATAAATAATAGAGAAAAACACTGATTAAACAAGAAAGGTTTGGGTTTTCCTCTATCACTAAAATAAGTCCAGAGGAAGCTCTCTCTGTATGTGTGATATAGAAGCTCCTCCTGTCACCTCAACTTTTGGCTTCCATCTTAAGAGTTACTTCAGAATTATAATACGGCTGCCTGTAGGACAGCCATCACATCCTTATTGTCATCTGGAAGAAAGCAAAAGGAAGGTCAGAGGACACCTGCAAGCTGGGACATCCTCATTTTTAAGGAGTTTTTCCAATAATTACTCCTATCCCTTGGCCAGATCTTGTCACATGTTTATCCCTAGTTACAAGGAGGTCTGGACGATGTTGTTTTCTTTAACTACATTGGTACCACTAATCCACTTCCATGAGGAAGAAAGGGGCTGGCCTTCCTCTGCTTGCCTCCGGGAGCAGGAGTACTGGCCCTATCCACAGGCAGGGGAAAGCTGCCTTGAGACGTCAGAGGAAGATAACCGAGTGGACTTTCTGTAAGGAAAAAAAACCTGAGTATCAAGTCTTAAATCTGTCTTTAAAGCACAGATTTGACTGTGCTGCAATGAGAAAAAGTATTCTCTGCCAAGAGTGGTGACACCGCTCGTGATCCCAGCTACTCAGAAGGCTGAGGCATGAGGATCATAAATTTAAGCACAGGCACCTGAGTGACACTTTGACTCAAAATAAAAAAGAAAATGTACTGGGGGTTGGGGTAGCTGAATGTGAGGCCCTGGGTTCCATTTCCAGTCCTGCCAAGAAGGAGAGGGAGAAGGAGAGGGAAAAGGAGTGGGGGGAGGGGGGCTGAGCAAGAAGAAAGGAAAAGAGAAGAAAATGTATTTTCCAAAAGGACTGTTAAAATAATATTTCCCCACCCACCAGGTAACCAGAGTGGAGGGGCTGAGTAGAGAGAAAGTTGCCAACTTGTTATTTGTGCTGAGGGATCCATTACGGGGCAGCTCCCCGTCAGAGGGACTCGGGGTGCTGCCCTCTGTGCCTCTGTGTGACCACAGTGCTGAGGGCTGCTGGACACCACAGGGACCCAGGGCCCCCTTACAGGTCTGGGAGCAGCTCCCTACCTCACTGTCATTCCGCAGCCCCCGCCAGCCTCCCTCAGTGGCTGAGTGACTCCTGGCTCCTGTGTGGGATTTGAATGCTGATGCTCTTCATTCCCTATCAGAAAATGGATTTCCCTCCATCTGCAAGTAGTTCTTTCCTCTCCCTGCTGCTCCTTTACCTGTGTGTGCTGAGCTCATAGGCATGCCCTCAGGGTAGCAGTGTTAACCTCAGCCTTGGTGCCTGTTTATCAAGAGCTGGATTTCCATTGGTAGGAATCACCATGAGAGCTCCCTACAAAGAGCACCAGTCACCCTTTTGTGCTGTTATCTTTTCCTTCAAAGAAGGCACTGCCTTCTGATGCTGAAGGTCTTTACCAAGGGAAAGCTCCAAGAGCAGTGGTGTGCAGTCAGGTGCCATAATTTCACTTGCTGGTTTTGCCATGAGTTAGCTATGTGTTCTCCAGCCTCTCATTTATCCTCTTAGTCCACTTTCTGTTGCAATAACAAAATGCCCGAGGCTGAGCGCTTTCTAAGGAAAAAGGGTTTGTTTAGCTCACAAGGCTCTGGAACATGATGCCAGTATCAGCTCAGCAAGTGCCTCGTGGTGGATGGCATTGTGGTAGCACATGTGAAAGAAATCACATGGTGAGACAGGACACCACAAAGGTCAGAGGCCAGGCTTGCTGTTTAGTACAAATGTACTATTTGGAGAGCTAAGTGGGATCCTATGCATCTGCGCACAGCACCCCCAGTGACCTAATCGCTTCTTAGCAGCCCCCTCTCTACATATCAACAGGTGTAGGGGACTGACTACGGCTCCTGCACATGACAGCATATATGGTTTGTCCCCCAAGGGATAACCATAGCATCCTCTTTGAGCCTCAGTTTCCTCCTCTGTAGAATTAGGTGGCTGGAGGGCCCCCTAGGGATCCTTCCATAGGATGCTAAGATGTGAATGTCTTTAAAACTCCTGGGGTAGGGGGTAGAGAAAAAGACGGGGGAGAGGAGAAGGAGGAGGTGGAGGAGCAGGGGCTGGGCATCCTCTCTGGTGTCCTCCAGTGTTAATCCGTAGCAAGGGCTGATCAGAATCAACCTGTGCTCTCTGTGCTGTGAGCTGCCTAGGAGTAAGTGATGGCAGAGAGACTGGGGCAACAGGCAGTGGCTGTTTTTTATCCCCTGCCTTCCAAGAAATGACTAGGTCTGAGGCAGGAGGGGGCACATGGATGGTTGGACACCGCCCTCTTTTCTTCAGCCTTGTGGGTCCTGGACTCCCATTTCCACTAACTGGATCCTCTGTCACCAACCAACACCAGGGCACATGGCTGGGGGCTCCTTTAATGGATGATTTAGTTTGTTTGAGTGCATTTTTTCCAGTTTCAAGTGGTCCATTTGCCTTTTTCAGATTGCCAGAAAAAGTGGGCTTTTCCTTTACGCTTTCTGAAGGGCTCAAAATACTGTGTTCCCCAGGAGATCTCAGTAAGTCATGATTCTTCCCAAGGAAAATGAATTTAATTCATATTTAATTCATACTCCAGAATTTTAGGTTGTTTATCCAGGAATCTAGTGAGAATATCATCAGGCCATGATTCACGGTTTGCATTCTTAAGTGATTTGAATAAAAGGGGAAATTTTTATAAACAGGATAAAAGAAAAACAATGATTATGCCAGGAAAAAAAAGTGTGCCATGTAATACTAGTGAAATTCCCATCATGTGTGAGCAAATGTTTCCATTCAAATTAAGATTCTAATCATACTTGGAGAATTACTCCTAAAACATGCTAGGAACTTAAAACATTTTATGGCTAGGAACATGTGATGTATCTTGAGGATACCCAACCCCCCATGCCAATAGGAAGTAGTCAAAGAACTACTCTGTTTTGGACTCTTTTGCATGAGCTTCCTAATTTTGGCCCAAAATTGTTCCTCCACAAAACTCAGGACAGTCTTTAACTTTTTCCCCTACAAACTTCCAGTGACTGCAAGAATGCTTTGCAGTTTTGTGTCCTTTCATGCTTCTCAAAGCACAGATGCTCAAAGATCAGTCAAAGTGATACACAGAGTGTCTCCCAGGAGCTGGGCAATGCCCCAAGGAATCCTATGTCTGTGGAAAAGAGAGAAGAATGACCTTCAACATTATGGTCTGCTGATTTAAGCCCAGGAGCACATTGCAAACTGGAAAAAAAGAAGTCAAATATGATGGTGGGCAGAAGTCCCTAAATTTGTTCATTTTACCAGATCCTCAGAT